GTTTACTCGCCCGCTATTTTTGATAATAAATATATATATTATTTCCCCCCCCCAGCCTTTCCCTTCCCTTCCCCATTTTACCAAATATTTTCGTGGAAACGAGGTGGTTTTGTTGGATTCTTTTATTTTATTCTTTTTTTTTGGCGTGGAAAAGAGGGGTTTATTTTTTTTTTTTTTCTTTTTCTTTTTTTCTCCACTTAATATTTTTTTTTTTGTGGAAAAGAGGGGTTTATTTTTTTTTTTTTGGAAAAGAGGGGTTTATTTTTTTTTTTTTGGAAAAGAGGGGTTTATTTTTTTTTTTTTGGAAAAGAGGGGTTTATTTTTTTTTTTTTGGAAAAGAGGGGTTTATTTTTTTTTTTTTGGAAAAGAGGGGTTTATTTTTTTTTTTTTGGAAAAGAGGGGTTTATTTTTTTTTTTTTGGGAAAAGGGGGGGTTCTTTTTCAGATTTCTTTTTTTTTTTTACTCCATCCTAATGATTTTTATTTTTTACTTTTTTTTTTTTTGGACTTTTATTTGCGGGGCTGAAACTTTTGTCTAATTTTGGATTAGTATTATATAAAATTAAAAAAAAAAAAAAAAGGAAAAAAATAAAAACCCAGCTGAAAAAACAACACCCCCCCCGGAACCGAGACTGAAATCCTGCCCCCGGGAAGGGGGGGGGAATTGGAAAAAATAATCCAAGGGGGGGTTGGAAAAAATAATTGGAGCGTTTTTCGTGGTATCGAGTGACCGGGGGGGGGAAGGGATGAGGAAAGAGCGAAAACACCCTCCCGAGGGTGTGGAAATCGCTCAAAAAAAGGTGTTTTTTTGACCTATTGGAGCTGGATTTTCATTTTTTCTTTTTTTAGTCTTATTTTTAGCCGAGTCCCCTCTGTCGCCTCCACGTTTGTTACATGATTTATATTATAAAAAGGGGGAAAAAAACCAAAACCCACCCCCAAAACAAACCAAAGACCGAAAAAACGGCACCCGGGGGGGAAAGTTTATTATTTTTTTTTTTACTAAAGGATCTTGAGGATAAAAACAGGCAAAAAAAATAGAGAAATATAGAAAAAATATATATATTAAAAAATATAAAAAAAAGCAAAACCCCTTTTCAGCACTTTAACGGCGAATTTAATTGAGAATGTAAGAAGAGCGACTTTGTAAAATGCAAATAAAAAAAAAAAGTTTATTAACCGTGATGGTGCCTTGTTGGGTTTTATGTTCTTTTGGGGTTATTTAAAGTGCCGATTTGGGGTTATTTATCCCCAAAGCCGCTTGGGGGGGGGGTTCCTGAAGGCCCCCAGTTTCCCCCCAGCCCCATTTTGATATTTTTATCTCCCCTAAAAAAGGCTATTTAAGGTTTTTTGGGTGTTTTTTTCAGCTGCATCACTCACAGGGTGGGGGAGGGCGACACCCACCCCCACTGCACGGGCGGGGGCTGCGAGAGGGGGGAAAAAAAGCCCCCAGATCATCATAAAATGGGGTTAA